ATCTTGGTTCACTGCAGCCTCTGCTTCCCAGGTTCAGGAAGGTCTCCTGCCTCAGTCTCCTGAATAGCTGGGATTACAGGCGCATGCCACCACACCCAGCTAATTTTTGTATTTTTAGTAGAGTGGGGGTTTCACCATGTTGGTCAGGCTGGTCTCGAACTCCTGACCTCAGTTGATCTGCCCGCCTTGGCCTCCCAAAGTGCTGGGATTACAGGCACGAGCCAAAAAAAAAAAATTTTGCTGGAAGCAAATTTTTAATCATTCACAAGCCCTTAAAGTTGTAGTTCACTTCTATTTTAAGCAATAAAAAAATGAAATAATAACTTTTGGAAACAATTAAGGTTTTAAATCTTTACTTCTTAAAGTAATCATTAATCAAAGAAGAAATCTGTATGCATGCAGCAGTTAAATGAAGAATTCAAGGTCTATTTTAATTAGTGATTCATCATAGGTCTGCATTCTTTGGGAGAGATAGGGGCTTGGGGAGATCATATCAGTGATAAATCAGTCTGTGGGAAGTAAGAATTTTGATAAAATTTGGAACTCTGATCCAGGGAGCTGTTTTTGGTGATTTCTTAAGGCTCTGATGGCATGCTGTCACCAGATGCATCATTATTTTGAAACTAAAATAAAATGTGAGAAGGCCTGGGAAAATCTTGTGGGCTGGAAATTGCTTGCGGACGAGTAGGGCTAGCTTGTAAAACTCATTTGCTGGAAAAGATTATTCTTGTCTTTCTTCTCTACTTTCAATCATTGAAAATATTATTCTCTATGTGCCATTAAGTGCCAGACTTTTTTTTTTCAAAAGAAACAATAACAACAATTTCCAAACACTCAAAACATACTTCAACATGCTGTTTTAAGAGAAATATACATGAGCAATGGTTTTGAGCAAAAATCCATTTTTAATCCAGATTATACATTCAGTAGCAATTTAAGAATGTTTGCTTTGATTGCCTTCCTCCATCTCCATCACGCCCCTTACACTCTCTTCAGCAGTTCTGATGTGAGTGTACACTTTCCATTGTTTTCTTTATTGATTTAATCTTATAATTTGAGGTTGGAGACTGATTATCCAGCTTTTTATACAGCAGTACTATTTTTCTTTCTCTGTTTAACACATCGCAGAGAACTGAGTGTCAGGTTTCTATCTCATATGTTCCACAATTCTGTGTTCTGGTGTGATGCCGGCGAAACTGGTATAATTCGAGACAAATAGTGATCTTTCCAAGTTTCATAAAATAAATCCTTATAATTTATAGGAATTAGAAATGCAAATATTGAAACACTTTAGAATAGCACATGGTTACATTCTAACCATTTCAAGGACAGGCAGAATTAGAGAAACTGACCTGACCTCCTTCCAAATTACGGCTACCATTCTAGACTGTACAAGAATAAGCAGAATGGCTTCTCTCAGGAGAACAGAGACAGAGAAGACACTCATCACCTTGTCATGGTGTCGGCTTCTAGCTTAGAAAGGTGAACACGGTGCTCCCAGGACCACACACACTTGTCCACATGTCCTTTCGGCATTGGGAAATAAAGCAGCATTTAGGTGGGTAAAAGCATCATTCTGTCAGTTGCTGAAGTCTCCACTGTTGATGCCAATTGTGTTTTCCCAAATGTCTTAAAAATCTGTTTAAATAAAAATGTCAAACCCTCGTATGATTTCTAAAGTTGTAGGGGGCATCTGAGGCGAGACGCGTGGTTGGGAACAACATCTTAATGATCGTTCCATCTCCCACAATGCCCAGCACAGGGTTTTGCTCAATAATCCTGTGTTTAACATTAGAATAAATGAACGGGCCAGTGTAACTGATACCCTGATGCAGGCAGCCCTTCTCTGCATTCCTGAATATCTCACTAGTCACCCTGAGTCTATTACTGCTTACCACAAATGGTTCCAAAGCTCCCTCTGAAGTTGAGCCAAAGTTGGTCTGACTGTAATTTCCACCGATGAATCCTGGTCTGTACATTGGAGGGAGTAGTCTGTTCCCTTTACTACAGGATAATCCTGCTAACACATGAAGACGGTTATCACATCTTCCCTTAGGTGTCCCCAGAATAATGTTTTCCCAATCCCTCCACCACTGCTTGTAAGAAAGAGGAAATGACTAGGTGAGTGCTCAGTAAACTTGCGTTTGGGGTCCTGTTGCTGCGAATGATTGATGTGACCTTTGGTGGGCCACTTAATTGCTCTGGTCATTTATAGAGTCATGTATAAGATGGCATTTTTACACTTTTCTGTTTACCTAGTAGTATTGTTTTGCGGAATCAAACCCTCTGAAAATTGTCAGATGTTATGAAAACGTAAGATATTATTATCACAATGAGATGCAGTTTCCAGCCACTTCACCGATCTAGCACGCTTCCCTTGGCTGTGCCCGTAGTTTGCCATTGCATTCCTTAAAATGTGGGGACCAGAATTAAATTAACTCACTATTCATCCATTACTGGCCTTTTACAGTAGAAATGAAAGGAGGAGAAAGGAAGAAGTGAACTCATATTATTTAAAACTTACCCGGTGCCAGACCCTTAATTCTTTATTTATTTTACTCCTCATACTAACCCTTGAAGGCATGCGTAGTATAGGTAAGTAAAGAAAACCTTAGAAATTGTAAGTAATTTGCTCATGTCACCAAGGTCGACTTGACTCATGTTCTCTCCACTCTAACATGTTTTCCACAATTTTTATTATTCCCATAATTAGGACACTCTACTTCTATGATTGGAACAGTCAGCAATGACAACATCTTCCTTTGGCTAGAGCATAATGCTGACTTGTATTAATCTTGAAGTAGGCGCAAAGTTTTATGTTTTCATTTTTATTTCGTTTCACATATATTTCTATTAATATTTACACTATACTTGTACAACAGGTTTGGGGGCCTAAATTCCAGCCTTTTTAGAGATCCTTTCTAAACTTGATGTGATCTCACATTATTCACAATCTCTGTTCAATAATTCTTTTTTTTTTTTTTTTTTTTTGAGACAGAGTCTTGGTCTGTCACCAGGCTGGAGTGCAGTGGCACGAACTCAGCTCACTGCAACCTCCGCCTCCTGGGTTCAACCAATCTTCCCACCTCAGCCTCTCTGGTAGCTGGGATTACAGGTGCCTGCCACCATGTCTGGCTAATTTTTGTATTTTCATTAGAAACAGGATCTCACTGTATTGGCCAGCCTGGTCTGGAACTCCTGGCCCCAAGTGATCCACCCACCTCAGCCTCCCAAAGTGCTGGGATTACAGGGTGAGCCACCATGCCCAACCTCAACTTGATCTTTAACTGTCTGTCAAGGGTATGAGTTCAACCATCTCAAATGTGAAGACTGTTCCCCATCTAGGAAAAACTAGAAGCAAAGTGGAAGTTAAGTAGCTCCACTTGTTTCATCCCTAAGAAAGAAGACTGTCCTTCCTTTGTCCATCACCTCCCTCTGTGAACGTGGCCCAGTAAGTCATCCTGCGTCTGAGCCTCCTACGGTTGGTATGCAGAATAATCGCCCACAAAATTCTCAGGTCCTAATCCCTGGAACCTGTAAATGTTGCTTCACATGGAAAAAGGGACTCTGCACATGTGGTTAAGAATCTTGAGATGGGGAGATTGTCCTGGTGGGGCCTAAATGTAATCACAAGTGTTCTTCTAAGAGGAAGGTAGAGGGAGATTTGATACAGATGGAAGAGGAGGAGGCGAGGTGACCACGGAGGCAGATTGGGACCATGCAGCCGTAAGACAAGTGGTAGCCACTCAAAACCAGAAGAGGCAAAGGACAAGTCCACCCCTGCAGCCTGAGGAGGGAGTGTGGCAGCTGTCGCCACCTTGATTTCAACCCAGTCATACTTATTTTTGGACTTCTGGCCTCCAGAACTCTGAGCAAATAAGTTTCAGTTGTTTTAAGCCACCAGACGGTAGGGGGATAGTTTGTTATAGCAGCCGCAGGAAACTAATACACTCCCTTGTGTTATTCTTTGATGTTCCTGAAACTCTTGTAATCTCCTTGGGTTGTATGCTCCTCCTTCCTTTCAATCTATATACATGTTATTTATGTTTCCATAAAAGTTTCCTTATAATATCTGAGCTTGCCAGACTGACATCCATACTTGACACTGGTCTTTTGAAATGTTGTCATGTAGAGGTCAGAAAACATAAAATACTGTTTGGACAGATATATAACGATTTTCAAATGTCTTCCTTTTTGGGTTTTCAAATATTGATGATACAAGAATGCTTACCAGCTACCAGTTATTATTTGTTTGGTAAATTAAAATTTTTTGTGCTAGAAGTTCTGCAGATGACAGTAGACCCAGTGAGCTAATAGCTCAGGGGAAATGCCTTTCTGGGGGGGGAGAGACCCAGGGAGAGCCTCCCTTGCAGCTTAGTGCCTTCCCCCCAACATCCCGTGTAGCTCTGAGGAATCTCACCTAAATCTGCTGTCTTTTATAAAAACTGGACAATCTAATGCCTCTTTTGAATAACCCAATTGGAATTGGGTAGTTACCCCAAGTGTGTCCCAGAGTAACAGCAACGGAATTCATGTTTACTAATCCGTCTTTTCCTGTTCCTGTATTTCTTTTGCCACCTGTCTAATGTTCAAAATAATCAAATCTTAAGAAAAGTGACTGCATTTTAGAAGAGTCTGAAACAGGTCCTGTATAATTTCTGTGTCTGCTCTGCATAAAAAGTATCCTACATTGAAACTATTGAGAAAGGCAGCCACACCAAAGAATCATTTATTGCTCTCAGGCTTACCGAATTTTTGCTCTGGTACCATTAGGGCTGTTATCCGTATCTGGGTGTGAGGAAGGGGATTTGGGTGGGAAAGGAGAGGGGAGTCGCTGAACGGAAAGTGAGGGAGGAGGAAAGAGATAAAGGACGCCGAGAAGAAAGGCAGCAGGTTTGACCGAGATTCCCAGCTGCCCAGTCTCTGAATATCAGAACTCATTTACATGCTGTTGGGGGAGGGGCAGAGAACAGAACTTTCCAAAGCGTGAAGTTCAAGAGTCCGAATATCTGATTCTACTCATTTTCAAAACTGTGTCACCAAATCCTGTTCAGTTCCTAAAGCCCCACCCTCAGATTCCCATGTGCCTGTCTTCAAACATGGTACGTCTTCTTTCTCCAGTGAGATGAAACTAATGTATTCTGCCACATGCTTCAGAAATACTTAACCTTGTTATTTGATAGCCATGTGTTTTCGTGCGGAGGTAGGAGGAGCTGTTTCGACTCTTTTTCACTGTGAAAGAGATGGACTGTTTGAACCGAGAGGGTGCCCCCGGCAGTTGGGAATGGCAGTTGTAACGTAACAAATGCGCTGTGGCCCAGCAGGACCCAGGGGGTGCTCAGACACCTCCCAGAGACCCTAACCCACTAACAGTGCCAATGCCCGTTTCACTTTTCTGTTTCTGTCCTTCCAGGATTCTTGACAAGTGACATCTAACCTATTCACAGACACTTTTTAAAGCAAAATAATAGTAAAATCATGTGAGTGGGGTTTTTTTGTTTTTTGTTTTTGTTTTTTGGCCCGTCTGTTTCTCTTGTGTTCTTTAAGGTCGACATTCTCATTATTGCATCTTGATATCTTATCTGAGGTTTCAGTCTCTGTCCAGCTCTTGTATTCTGTGATGTGTATGGATTTCTTTATTAAGCACCCACTGAGTGGAGGGTGAGATATTTAGCCCTGTGGCAAGCACAGCATGGGAACCTTGATCGTAGAGAGAGGGACAAAATGCCCTACCCCTGTGGATGACAAGAACTCTCCCATGGCAACGTATACCCACAGTATACTTGACAGCAGACAAGGATTAGATCAGCGCTGAAACTGCAGATCAAGAGGGCTGTCAACACTGAAGGTCTTCATCAGAGGCGCCGTTTAGGAGCAGAATGGGAGGCAAGGGAGCTGCACTTCTGTGCAGGGCTAGGAAGAGGGAGAGGCAAAGGAGGCATTTGTATCTGGTGCCGAATTTAAAACGGTGCCAAAAAACTCAGGAGTCAAATTAAGCATATTTGAACACAAGAGTTTTGAAAATCACAACTAGTACAAAAAAATCAATAAGGAACAACATGTCAAAATGTTGAAGAACGACAGGGTTGATATTACTGGTTTTTCCCTTTTTTTCTCAGACTCTGTCATGGCTCCACATGGAGCCTGTAAGTGAGGAGGGAGAGGAGATGGAGGAGAGGAGGCTAGTGCATTAGAGATAGTTACCAGGGTACGGATAGAAGAATGAAAAGCTCACATAATTCTGTCAGGCAGAGAAGCTTGGCTAGGACAGAGATCCAGGTAAGGGGATGTTAAAAGATAAAAGGTGGGCCAAGTGCAGTGTCTCACGACTGTAATCCCAGCACTTTGGGAGGCCAAGGCGGGTGGATCTTGAGGTCAGGAGTTTGAGACCATCCTGGCCAACATGGTGAAACCCTGTCTCTCCTAAAAATACAAAAATTAGCTTGGCATGGTGGCAGGCACCTGTAATCCCAGCTACTCAGGAGGCTGAGGCAGGAGAATGGCGTGAATCCAGGAGGCAGAGGTTGCATCGCACCACTGCACTCCAGCCTGGGAGACAGAGCAAGACTCCATCTCAAAAAAAAAAAAAAGAGAAAGAAAGAAAAGAAAAGAAAAGATAAAAGGTGAAATGGAGAAAGAGATGTGGAAGTCATTAAGAGTGAGATGAGCAGTCATAACCTGAGTCTCAACCTATGAGAACTGATAGGCAAGATTTGTCATAGTGAATTACCAAAAACAGTGGGGAGTGTCCCATAAGGACGATTGTAGCAACAGCGTGTAGGAAGGGTTGAAGGGAAGGGAATGGAAAATAAACATTTCCAAAAGAAGTTATAGACAAAAAGAATGTGCAGAACCCAATCATTTCGATATGGCAATAAAGGAGAAAGAAGGAAGCAAAACATATTAGACATCTGCCCACCTTCTGGGTGGAGATGAGTCTCTACTACCCACGAGATCTTTGGCAGTAACCGAAGTGAATGAAGGGCATGGAGTAGCACTGAAGGAAGAGGTGGGAGAGCCACATTTGGGCGTCTTGTGTGTACAGGGGAGATTTGACCCCTGTTGAGGCAAAGAGCTCAAGAGTAGAGGCTCGGAAATAACGGACGAGAGGTCAAGGATTGGTTTCCCACTCAGTAGAGGGTAGCGCTGTTTATGTTTTGGCATAACACATGTTTGTCATGTGGAACTGTTCCATATATCCCATTTAAAGTTCTTGCTCCTATCCCCTTTCCCCACCTCCTCCACCCGTTAAATGTCAGCAGCCCCCTCCACTCACTGGGACAACTGGAAAAGGCCCCACACATATCTAAACAAGATATGGTTTCCTCCAACCCCGGCCCTTTGAGAACTCCTCTGGGGAGGGAAAGAATCTGCATTCAGGGAAGAATTGTCCAAGAGGCACCAAGATATAATAGTGTTGCAGAAAATCCAAAGGCAAAAAGTTCCCAGAGGGAGGGTAGTCAGTGGTGTCAAATGAAACAGAAAGATCAATAAGAACACCCTGAAGAAACAGAAGACAATTGGGGAGGTGTTTCTCATAACACCTTTGGTTGTTCCAAAATGCCTACGTGTTGTCCTATGTGGTCAGTGATAGGACAGCTGTATTTTTTCAAGGAAGGCTCAATTTTCATGTTTTTTTATTATACTCATGCTCACACAGTTACACAATCTGAGGATCTACTCTAGTAAAAATGCCATTATATTTAATCTATGTATTATTTGTGTATATGTTTGTATATGTGCGTGTAATATGGGCTAATTCATGGAAGAGTGTGGTTTGATAAGCGAAAATGTTATCTCATTGTTGTTATGGATCCATTAATGCCATCTGTGAAGCTATCTGTAGGATGAGGATATGTAATCCTTTCACTTTTTTCTAAATGTAAAGAATATTTTTGTGGGCGTGTGGAAATAAAAGGGCAACACACTCATTTAGAAATGAATCTGCCCAAATATAAATGGTAATTTTGTAATTAAAATTACAAAATTAAAAATTAATTTAAAAAATTAAAAAAGCCTGATTCTGGCTTCTTCCTTACCAGTCAAGCTCCTCCAAAGATGTTTGAGTGCTTGACCTGCATTTCTTTGTATCTGTAGTTAATCCTTGAACTTGCAGAAAGGTTTTGTTATGGTTTCCTCTTTTAGAGTATTTTCTCTTAGAAGTGAAATGGAGAAGGTAATTTTTATGTATTATTTTTCATTCTGTTTAGTCTAGTCTTGCAGTTGGATACTTAATTTGGCATATGGTCTTTGGAAGGATCGTGGCTGTCCATTTCCACTGAGTTCTGTTGGTTGTACTGAATCAAATTGGATAAAAATTTTGTGAGTTTCCACTTAACGTTCTATGAAAGTTTTTTCTAAATTGTTGGTTTGGGAAGATTGCATTACTCTAGTTCTAGCTACCATGTTCTCTCCAGATTGCAAAACAGACTATGGAATAACATTTTTAAACATAAAATACAACCCTTAAAGTTTCTTAATTCCTCTTTCTGAATCTCATATTGTCAACAGAGGTCTTTTTTCCCTCTTATAATGTTCAAAATGATCTGCCCTTTTATGAATGCCTTGAGACTATCACACAAAGCTAACGGTGAGGGAGCAGATGCCGCATTCAATTCCAAATAGAAGGAAATCTGTTGTCTCAAATAATCCCTAAATTCAGACACTTTCAGACAGCTATTATCAAGAGACCACATTCTAAGAGCAGATGTGTTATTAAGGCTGAGAAATGTTATGAGGACTTCGTGATCTGACAAATGATTTCAATCTATCCAACATTCCAACATTTCATCTTTTAATAAATTAGAGATTAAAATATCCATTTTGGGGAGGCAATTTGTATAAGGTAGTTGGAAACTGGAGTTGTAACTGATACTTCATTTCCATGCAAAACTGCCTAAATTATACTTACAGGTCCTTTTTATATATAAAGTCTGCTCATTTGACTGAAGCAATTATGATGTATTTTAATCTCTGTATTCAGTCCTATAGCTCCTGCTCACAGACATGAAACACAATTCCTGTTTTTCAGTGAGGAATAAGAAACAAACACAGCCAGGTATTAGTTGCCTCACCTAAATGTGCTCAGTCATTCCTTTATATCCTTCAGTTTACCTTTTCGTGATTATTTAGAGCCTTTTCGGTGAAGCAGTTACTGGAAATTTCTGCTGAGGGCTAACAGTCTCCCTTTCTTGTTGGAGTGTGGTTATCTGCTACTAAACCTCTTTGTGTGTGTGTGTGTGTGTGTGTGTGTGTGTGTGTGTGAAAGGTGTAATAGAGCTCTTACATTCTTCGGATAATAGAATCTTCTTCTGGGTTCACGTGAATGTTTTCACCGGCCCTGTTCAGAATCACAAATTGTCCCATTCAATAACAAAATGTACATTCCTCAGCACTTGCAAACTGCTTATTACCCACGGGCTGTGCTTTGATCTCCTGAGAATACCTGTGGTGCTATAGGATTTTTTCATAATCCTATCATTGTCAAAGAGAATAAAACTTAGATCCAGGTGAACATCAATTACTATCAATAACTCAAAAAGCAACAAAGCCACCCAAATTCTCTTCAGCAGGGTTGTCCCCAGCTGTGCATATATTGGAATTTATATTCTATCTGACCTTATGAAAAGCAGCTAATAAAATGTCCTTGAGCAGTTTTCTTTAATCATCTGGAGTTGATCTTCTGGCTCAACATTGGTAGATGCTTCCTGGGTGTGAAATTTGGGAGCAGAAATAAATCATCTAATAATTTTCCTTATGACTGATGTTTTTTTCATCTTTGACCTTAAGAATCAGAATTTGACAGCTAGATTTCAGAGGAAATGGCATTTATGTTATAATTTTAAAAAATATGTTAAATTGTCAAAATCCTAAATATGCAAATGTAGCAAAACAAAAAAGAATGGAACCTTGTGGTTGGGCTGAGGGGCAGCAGTCCCGGAGTGCACAGCAAACAGCTCACTTGGCTCCCATGAGCATGCTGCTGGCGGGGAGTGGTGTTGTCCTCCCTGATGTGCCCACTCTCCAAACACTTCTGATTGGTTTTAACCTATAACAAATTTAAGCTTTATGAATATCACCATCCCAAACTTGTTCACTTACTGATTCATCCAACAATAATTTAGCTCCTACTGTGTGCAACATGAAATAAACTGAAAAGTCTTCAGAAGGCAGATATTCAAAGAAACTTGCTACAGAGCACAAACGTGTAATTGTGATCTGATTGAAGCAACATTTGGTGTATAAGGAGTTGAAAGAACACTAAAATTGGTGGCAACCTTGCCACTTGCAAGCTTTGTGATTTAAGGCATGTTGCTAAGGCTTTTGTGCATCAGATTTCTCACCCCTCTAAAGTGGTCATTGCTAAGTAAGTACCTACTATCTATAATCATGTGTTGGGCACTCTGGGGACCTTATTTAACTTCCAGTAGTTATGAGATCAGATGTACGGGTAATTACAATACAAAGAAGAAAAAAGAGATGAGGTCAGTAAGAGAGGCATAGGTTGCTACTGAAGTCCAGGGAAGCAGGTGGCTATTTGCATTTGGGGATGGATGTTGGGAGGGAAAATAAATTTGATTTGGGTCTTAAAGAGTGGGCAGACACTAGGTGTGGTGGCTCATGCCTGTAATCCCAGCACTTTGGGAGGCTGAAGTAGGAGGATCACTTGAGCACAGGAGGTCAAGGCTGCAGTGAGCTGTGATTGCACCACTACACTGCAGCCTGGGCAACAGAGCAAGACCCTGTCAAAAAAAAAAAAAGAGTGGGCAACATTTCGATGTAGAGAAATAGGTAAAATTTCACCCCAGGCAGAGGGAGCAAGATGGAAAGCACACAGAGGTGAGATGAAGCACAAATTTTTAGGTGAAACTCCAAGCATTTTGGCAGCATTAAGTTCTAGTTTTTGTTGATTTTTTTTTCCGTTTTGTTATTGTTTGCTTGCTAGTTTATTTTTGTGAGGAATTCTCTTGGTCTCATTTCTAGGCTCAAGGGAATTCATGCAAGAAAAAATTTCAAAGGTGTGTTAGGCGAGAGGTAGGAAAATAATGGCATAGTGTTCAGGACAAGATGAGGGACACAGGGGCCAAGGGGAGGCAGGGACCTCGTTAAGAAAGAAGTTGAGGCCAAGTCAATACAAGTAGATGCAGAGGAGCAGGCAGAGCTCAGGACAGCGGAGGCAGTCCATACCTAACGCACCTGTGTTCTCTATGACAGGTTGGCATCTGTTGAGTCAAAGGAGCCAGGAGGTGGAGACTGAGAAGATTTAGAAGCTCTGATGAAGTGGATGGAGAATGGAACCAACTGAGGTTATGTAGAATTGGCTCCTGAGGGCCAGATAACATCAGGAATCACGTGCTGGTGATGGAGGAGCCAGATAGGATGGTAATTTCCCATGAAATCTGAGTGGGAGAAGATCAGGAGAAGGAAACACTAAAGATAGAGACAGAAGGCAGAAACTTGATGGAGCCAGGTCATGGAGTAGGCAGGAGATGGGAGCAAAGGTAAAATACAGTAAGTAGAAAGATGGGGCCCAGTGTGGGGGTGGAGAGAGTTCTTGGGGAACTGGGTGCATATTATTTTCGCTGAATAGGAGAGAGGAAGAATTTTCAGGAAATCATTTCTCTCTGGGGGTTAATGTATTGGGAATTTAATTGTGCCTGGCCCAATTTAAAATGCTGAATAAGTACATTTTCAAGGATATTCTATATTGAATATTAAAACTCAATAGAAAAGAGGTATGCAAATAAACCTTTGGGTTCCATTATGTAAATACATCTTTAATGTAGCCAGCACTTGGAAAATAGTCTAACTCAAGGAAGATAAATAGATTTAAACTAATAAACCAACTCCTGCTTGGTGGTGGCTGCTTGGAGTACTGTACTGAAAATTTGGAGGATCAACAGGAAACGGTGTTGTGGTCAACTTGTGACAGCAGGTAAGGTTGCAGAAGAGGAGAGTGGGGTATGTTTACCACATATTTACCATTCATGAAGGTAGACAGAATATACAAGTTAGTTTACCTATCAATTAAATACAATAGTTAACTATATCCTTACAAATTGCAAGTATTTTTTACTTGCAAAGTCCTTTGATCTCTTGCTTAGATGACACATCCATTACAAATTATAAAAATGTGAGCAATATATTTCGTCAAATGAGTGTTTATCTTTTACCTGAGCTAAATTACTATCAGGAGAAATGTTTGGTTAAAGTGAACTATGTCCATGGAAACACGATTCTAAAATCTTCCAACTGCTGAAAGTTTCAAAGACCCTTGTACTTTACAGGCTGACAAAAATAAAAAGATATGCCATGGTCATTTTATAATTTCAGGGAAAAGAAGAGAATTCATTGTTTACTGAGACCTGTTTTAGGTCCTTCACATGTGTTCTCATGTAGTCCTCGGGGTGACTCTGTGAGATGGAAACTGAACGAAGCTGAAGGAGGTTGAAATTCGCTCCAGGGAAACAGCTCTCACATGACAAAGGCGGAAGGCAAACGTCGGTCTCGCTGACTTCAAGTCTGTGTTCTTTCCATCACTAGTGAAGAAGAGGCACATGAATAACTGAAACAAAAAATAAACATTAAAACACTATCAATTTTGCACATAATGGAGGGGAGAAATTATGATCACTACAATGCTGGGAATGTACATCTTAACAAATGGCTCCTAATTTCTTATCAGCAGATTTTAAAAATGCATCTATCTAGGTTTGCTTTAAAAATAGATCAGTTAGAAGGCAAAATTGTATGAGTGGATATTATTAATGATACTGAACTTCCATGTATGTGAACCAGCATTGAGTGGCACTTTGATAACGCTCATCCAATCCTACTTAGCGCCCTTCTCTCTTTTGCTGTCAAAGCTTACATACGGGTTCATGCTTTGTCTCATAACCTCTTGGTTAAAACGTAACATCTGGGCCTGGTGTGGTGGCTCACGCCTGTAATCCCAGCACTTTGGGAGGCTGAGGTGGGCGGATCACGAGGTCAGGAGATCGAGACCATACTGGCCAACATGGTGAAACCCTGTCTCTACTAAAAATCCAAAAATTAGCCGGGCGCGGTGGCAGGCACCTGTAGTCCCAGCTACTCAGGAGGTTGAGGCAGGAGAATTGCTTGAACCCGGGGGCCGGAGGTTGCAGTGAGCTGAGATCACAGCACTGCACTTCAGCCTGGCAACAGAGCGAGATTCCGTAAAAAAAAAAAAAAAAAAAAAAAAGCGACATTGGTACAGGAAAGGTGGGGCCACATAGCCAGTTCAACACTAATGCAGGTATGGATGAAGTAAGGAAAAAGAAAGAAGGAAAGTTGGTCGTCTGAAAGTCCAAAGGCAATGCCAGCCTGTATTCTGGAGAGGGTGCTTCTGGGGTTCAAATATAAATAGTTTTTCTAACTCAAAAACAAATCTAACATATTAAGTGTTTCATTGAAGTCCCCAATTATGTCTAGAGTTTTGCTGAGTTTATTTTAAAATGTATCTTGAAAAGCTGGTGGTCCAAATTTTTCCCTAGACTTACACATGATGAGAATCTGTCTCTTTATATTTAGCTGCAGGGCACCTAACAAGTTCTTAGGCGAAACACATTATTTTGCTAGTACAAGAAGAATAAATACTGTATTTGGAAAGTTCCAGTGTTCTTTAAAATATCGCTGTTTCCATAGCAATAACATAATGTACTAAAGAGTAGAATGGTGTTTCTTTAGAAACCACGTGTATGGATGCATGTTCCCACGAAGGGCTTTGAAGCATCTCACCTGCTTGTGGTCCCAAAATGGAACAACAATAGTAATCGAATCAATCATCATCTTATGAAATGAAACTTGGCCAGTTTTCTACTGCCTAACACGGTCAGCCTTCTGCTTTTGGTCATCTGTGTAGTGTCTTTTTAGGCTCTGTGCTCTTAGATGGGGGAGAATAGATCTATGTTCATTCATTAGTTCATTTGGTCAACAGATATGTATTGAGCACCTATTATATGCCAGGCACAGTTCTAGGCACTGAGGACTCAGTGACATTATGGAGTTTACATTCTAATGGGGAAAACAAGAAAATTCTTTTTTAACAACAAGGAATGTCACATCGTGTGCATATAGAAGTGCTCCTTGGTGATGTCAGTGACATTTTCAATACTTCGCAAGAACGCATGTTGCAATAACGTATGAAAGATGCCGGGAATAATGGAAAAGGAGAGTGCTAGGAATGATGATAACTGATAAGTTGATTCCCGGGGTGCTCTGCCAGGATTCTGATCTAGGATGAACCTCACTACATTAAGGATAGCAAAGGGTGTCTTAGGGGGTTTGGGCAATTAAGGTATTACAAATAAATACAAAGGAATGAGTTCCGTGTGGGTGAACGCTCTTCTGGAAAATGGGGTATATCTCTTAGGATGTAACTTTGATCCTGAAAACTCATATTAAGTTGGAAAGATTCTTTGAATGTTTACCCCCTCTGTTGACTTGGAGTTGAGTGCCTTAGCCTTCCCTGTAATCCTCCAAATTTGTTTTGTGTGCTGACTTTGCCCTGACGAGCCCCACCTTCCTCTGTATCCCCAGCTCCGACTCTCAAAAGCCTTTCTGTGGGGAGTGAATAGGTGGCAAGGATGTCACTGAAAAGGTCGCTTCTCTGGTTAACTACCGGCCGTCTAGCATCTGGCAAGGGGGTTGCAGGTCACAAATGTCTGCATGCTGGCACCATCACTATTCCGAGAGAGAACAGTAGAAGGAACAGTGTGCCCACCCCCTCCCAGAGGCCACACATCTTTGTCTCCTACACAAGACTTCATTTGTGCTTTCAGTTGCAAAACCTTGAAATATTTAGTCTTAAGAAACTCACATCTATTCGCTATATGCAGGCTCCTTTTGTGTGGCAGCCTCGCTAGTGCCCTGATCATAAGTGAGCAGCCACCTCTTGACCCTCCCAGACTCTGAAAGAGTTGACTCACTGTCCACATCGCTCCAAAAAGCTCCTGGTTTGCAGACACTTCTCAAACCACGCTGGGAACCGAAAGAGGTTCATGGGCCAGATGCAGGGTCACCGAGTCAGAGAGGTTCTCAGGGCACCCATCCTTTCCTCAGAATCAGACAAGTCAACCAGCTACCCCAGCAGCCTTCCTAGACTCTCAGTGAGGAGCAAGGTCACAAAAAAAGAAAAAATGCCAAAAGGTAAGAGCGGATTTTCAAGGCAGGAACTTCAAAGTCTTGCTTTTGCCCCCAGCAGATCCAGAGGTCTCAGAGTGAAGGGAAAGTCTCACTCTGTCAAGGTGAATTTTGGGTTGCCAACCACCCAGTTCTTTTAACCACTGTGATTCTACCCAGATGTTCTTTCTTAAATGCAAAGGCATCATTTTCTTGCCAAGAAACGGAATGATTGATCAAGCCTCCTTTAAATCATTTCATCTTATCCATTCCCATCTGAAGGAGCAGATATTGCATTAATATTAATATTCGTATTGTGTCCCTTGAGAGAGAAATGCCCCCTTAACCCCCCGCCCAATTACTGCCATCACTACAGGGATATGAAGTTAGAGGAGGAAGCTACCAATGTAGGGGCTGCAGTTGTTTTATTAGCAACAGCTGGTGGCAGTCCCCTGCCTGCACCCCCCCTTCTTTTTAAAAATGCTATGCTTGTCAGATCCAGCTTCTTGAGACTGGATGGCAAAGGGTAAGACAGGAACACGGCATATTTCAGCTTTTGCATGCAGAAAAAGGGATTATGCTAAAGAGGGTGCAGGCAACATTCAACGCTGATTAAAAAACTTTACAAAAGATTATTTGCTCTCAATATTATGTAGGTAACATTTGAGCAATTACACAAACATATAGAGTAATTGAAACCACCTGTAGGATTTGAAAAAATATTCTGTCTTCCCTTCTCATTTGTCCAAGATGCTTTAATAGGAAGCAAAATGTGGGCAGCACATGTCTTAGATTTATCCTTATTGTAACTTTGCGTATGTTTACGATCAAGGGTGGAGTTTGCAACACCAGGGCTCCTTCTGCGTTGGAAAGGGTTGACCATCAAAAGGAAATCTGTGCCATTTACCCAGTGGAGAAATAAATCTTCCTTTACTCACTTTTGCCCTGGCTCCTATGTAAGAAGTCCAAATGAACCCTGTTTCATCTTATTTCATCTTTGGAATTCCAGGTAACATTTTTAGGTGTACTAAATTCACATGTGGAATGTAGATTTGAGAGAAACTTTTGGCCAGTTAAATAGCTTTATAATTGCAGCTATTTCATTTTTATTTATTTTTTCTAATCTGATCAAAATTGGGTGAATTTCATGTATGTATGAAATCACTGAGCCCATACCATACGGTCAGAGTGATGCAACCGTCCTGGTTTCATAAATACCACTTATATATCTCGTAAATAAGAAAACATGAATTTCAGTAGGAAAACATAAGTATTAGTAGGAAAAAGGCATAGTTAAGAAATGTATTGCTTGCTTAGGTCTATAAACAATGACTGTTGGGAAGAACATGGTTAACGTAATCCAATGGTTAATGTAATCCAAAATGTAGATCCATTATATGCCTGCCTCTTGGGGAGAGAGACAAGAATAATGTCAAATGGAAAGAAATCTTGGCTGTCCTCCTTATTTCTTTCATGTGTAACAAATTTAAGATGTTCATTTCTTCCCTATGGCTCAAATACTATTAATTTTTATAGTTAAAAATTAATTCTAATAATTCTTAAGTTTTGAATTCTAATAATTCTTAAATATAACAGCAACACTTACGGGACTAATGCTTGATAACTCCATGGAACCTTAAAAACAGTAGCAACAATAGCACTGGGAGATGCAAGCTCCCTCTCTAGATAGGGCTGCTTCATGGACCGTATGTTCCCTGATCTTTGTATGCTCAGATCATCAGGAAGTTTGTTGCGAAGAAAGCACAGACCCCTGCTGTTGGCTGCCATGGTCTGTCTGTGTGATACTTTAGTGGATGCAGACCTGGGGAGATTCATTTGCTTCTTTTTTATTCTTCCACTCTTTAAAAAATGTATTTATTTTACTTAAATAGACATAAAATTGTATGTATTTATTACATACAACATGACGTTTTGAAGTATGTATACATGGTGGGATAGCTATAGCTAAATACAGCTAACTAACAAATGCATTACCTCACATAGGTATTTTTGTGTGAGAACACTATTCACTCTCTTAGTTTTCAAGAAAGCAATATATCGTCATTAACTACAGTCACCATGCTGTACAATAGATCTCTTGCACTTGTTCCTCCTGTCTAACTGTAAGTATGCATGCCTTAATCCACATCTCTACCTGCCTTCTTCCCCTCGACTACCCAAGTCTCTAGTAACCACCATTCTACTCTCTACTGAGATCAACATTTTTAGATTCCATATAAGAGTGAGGTCATACAGTATTTGTCTTATTCGTCTTTCTGTGCCTAGTTTATTTTACTTAACATATCTTCTAGATTCATCCATGTTGTCACAAGTGACAGGATTTCATTCTATTTTTTATGACTGAAGAGTATTCCATTATGTATAGATACCACATTGTCTTTATCCATTCATCCATTGATGGACACTTAGGTTGATTCCATATATTGGCTATTGTGAACAGTGCTGCATGAAAGTGCAGATATCTCTTCAACATACTGATTTCATTTCCTCTGGATAGATAACCTGTAGTGGGATTGCTGGATCATATGGTAATTCTGTTTTTAATGTTTTCAGGCACCTCTATGCTGTTTTCCATAATGGCTGTACTGACTTATATTCCCACTAACAGTGTATGAGTGTTCCGTCTTCTCCGCATCCTCATCAACACTTGTTATCTTTTGTCTTTTGTATAATAGACATCCTAACAAGACTGAATTGATATCACATTGTTGTTTTAATTTGCATTCCCTGATGATTAGTAATATTGAGTATTTTTTTCACATACTTGTTCGCTATTTGTATGTCTTCTTTTAAGAAATGTGTATTCAGGTCTTTTGTCCATTTTTTAGATCAGGTTATTTGTTTTCTTGCTATTGCATTGTTTGAGTTTCTTATATATTTTGATTATTAATCCCTTATCAGATGTATAGTTTGATATTTTCTCCCATTCTGTAGGTTATCTCTTCACTCTGCTGTTTTCTTTGTTGTGCAGAAGCTTTTTAGTTTGATATCATCCCATTTGTCTATGTTTGTTTTTGCTGCCTGTGATTTTGAGGTCATATCCAAAAAGTCATTGCCCGGACCAATATCTTGGAGCTTTTTCTCTATGTTTTCTTCCAGCAGTTTCATCATTTCCAGTCTTACACTTAAGACTTTAATCTATTTCGAGTTTATTTATGTATATAGTGAGAAATGTGTATAGTTTCATTCTTCTGCATGTGGATATCCAGTTTTTCCGACACTGTTTATTGAAAGTCTGTTCTTTCCTCTATTGTGTGTTCTTGGCACCTTTGTCAAAATAAGTTGGCTATAAATGCATGGATTTATTTCTGGGCCCTCTATTCTATTCCATAGGTTGATGTACCTGTTTTCATGCTAGTACCATATTGTTTTGGTTTGGTTTTCTTTTTCTTGTTCCTCCATAAAAACAAATGACAGTACCATATTGTTTTAGTTTTTATACTTTTGTAGTATACTTTTAAGTCAGGTAGTGCGATACCTCTAGCTTTGTTCTTTTTGCTTAAAATCGCTTTGTCCATTAGGGGTCTTTTGTGAATGCATAGGAATTTTAGGATTGTTTTTTATACTTCTGTGAAGAATTTCATTGGCATTTGTATTAATCTGTGTTGCATTGTTACAAAGGAATACCTTAGGCTGGGTACTTTATAAAGAAAAGAGATTTAATTAGCTTATGATTCTGCAGGCTGTGCAGGAAGCATGACACTGGCATCTGCTTGGTTTCTGGTGGAGGCTTCAGAAAGCTTTTGCTCATGATGGAAGGCAAAAGGGGAATACGCGAGTCACATGGCGAGAGAAAGAACAGGAGAGATGCCAGGCTCTTTTAAATTACCAGCTCTCATGTGAACTAGTAGAGAGAACTCACTCATTACCGTGGGGAGGGTAGCTAGCCATTTATGAGAGATTTGGCCCCATGACCCAAACACTCCCCCACTAGGCCCCACCTCCAACATTGGGGATCACATTGCAACATGAGATTTGGAGGGAACAAACAAGCGGACTATATCAGTATTTTAATAGAAATTGCATTGAATTTGTAGATTACTTTGGGTAGTATGGACATTTTAACAACACTTACTCTTCCAATCCATGAACATGAGGTATCTTTTCATTTATCTGAGTCCTGTGCAATTTCTTTCATCAATGTTTTGTAGTTTTTAGTATAGGTGCCTTTCGCCTCGTTTGTTAAATTTATTCCTAAGTAATTTTTTTGTAGTTACTGTAAATAGGATTAATTTCTTGATTTTTCATGGGCTTCTTATAACTTAGAAACACAATTTTTCAGGAGGGAGAATGCACCATATCCTAAAAATGTTATTTTTAGACACCCTAAAAATTACTGTGGTAGGCAGAATAATGCTTCACCCCCAAACAAAGTCTCTGAACTGGTGAATATATTACTTTACACAACAAAAGGGACTTTGCAGGTGTGATTAAATTAAGGGCCTGGAGATGGGGAATGATCCTGGATTATGCAGGTGACCCAATGTAATCACAAAAGTTCTTGAAAGTGGCAGAGGGAGGCAGAAGAAGAGCCTGGAGGAGGTGTGATTACAGAGCAAGGGTTAGAGTGATGTGGTATGAGAAGAACTCAACTTACAGTTGTTGGCTTTGAAAGGAATCATGAGTCAAGGAATGCAGGCATCCTCTAGAAAGTGGAGAAGGCTGGGAAATGGACTGTCCACTAAAGCCTCCAGAAAGAATCAGAGCCTTTTGGGAACCATGGTTTTATTTATTTTAAATTTTAAATTTGTTTATATTTTTGAGATAAGTTCTCATTCTGTCACCTAGGCTGAAGTGCAGTGACGCAATCATGGCTCACTGTAGCCTTGACCTCCTGGGCTCAAGTGATCCTCCCACCTCAGCTTCCTGAGTAGCTGGGACCACAGGTATGCACCACTATGCCCGGCTAGTTTATTTTTTAATTTTTTTATTTTGAGATGGGCTCTCACTATGTTGCCCATGCTGGTCTCAAACTTCTGGGCTCCATGATTTTAGCCCAGTGAGACCTGTGCCAGACTTCGGTACTGCAGAACAGTAAGACAATACATGTGTGTTGTTTTAAGCCACTGAGCTTATGGTAATTTGTTACAGCGGCAACAGGAGACTAATCTACTTGGTATACATGTTACTTTTTGTTTCTGAGGATTCTATTTGGAATTATGACTCTGACTGCCTCTGGAACGTGTTGCATCAGGAAAACTCACCAAGACTCAAACCAAGACAGAGAAGAAAATGAATATGGAAAGATGAGGATGTGGCCTAAATGAGTAAGTGCAACAAAACTATTTATCATTTCAGTTATATTTTCTGACAGTCCCTTAGAGGAAGCTGTGATTTTAGTTTCAAGAAATGGTACACCTTCGGTTGACATTACTGACATTTGGTTTTATCTAGAATTTAAAGAGTATGACAATATGCTTTCATGTTAATGATTTAGCAGACAGTAACACAAAAATCTGAATTTTAATGCCTTCATTTTTGGCTAATATGTTTATCTCACAGCAAACTAAATAGACAACAGCAAAATCAATATCTTTAATGTTATTCAAGGGCCATCTTTTGAATCTGTGGGAGAAGTCTTGATCAAACAGTTCCTTCTTGTTTCATTCTCTTTCATCAGCGAAGTGAGAGGTGGAAAAGATCTACTAGATCATAAATTAATGATCCTGTGTTAATGCAGATGTCCCCACTAATTAATGAAAGCAAAATGCAAAGCTTGAATATATTGAAATATCTTGCAGTCTAGGAAAAAGATTAAAAATTATTTACCTCATACCTAGCCAAAATTTGTTTGTGTTTTACACAAAAAGTAGACATAAAGCCCTGACTCGAAATCTTAATCTCAGTGATTCTTTTTAAACAGATTTCTTCTCTAACTGGGGGTCAGGCAGAATTGGGCAACCTCAGAGCAGACAGAGGGAACTCCCGTGATACTGTGTCACTAGGCGGAGTCGTTGCAGCTCAGCTACTTCGTGGTTTTCCCCAATCCCTTTGCTGGGTACACTGATTTCCTTCGAGTGGGTGCCAGATATGCCACTGGGAGCTATAGGGCTCAGAAAAGATACATTGACTGAATGAGGGGGGAGGCGTAACTTTACAAAATAGTATACTTAGAAATGGACACCAATAACAATCAACATAAATGAATATAGAACCCAAATGTCTTTGATGACCTATCCAGAAATGACACATCATCATTTCTATAGTATCCTATTGGTTCCACTGATCGCCACTACTTATTGTAGGCATGGACTACACGGGGATCTGAATACAAAGAGGTGAGAATGACAGAGAACCATTTTCGAGGCTGACTACCACAAATGGGTTATTTTCCTTCAAAGACATTGATAAGGTTTAGCTACAGAACCCTTGAGTCTTCAAGCTACAGAACACTTCCTTTAGAACTAGAACATTTACATAACTGTCTGCTCACGTTGTCTTCTTCCAGAGTGATGACTCCCATGATCATGACGTAGGGTCTTGAATGGAAAGATCGATATCAATGTTATGGAAAGAATTATCCACTAAGTAACTCAAGCCCGTGAATAATCTCTTCTGTGTTCTAGGAAAGAACCTTTGTTTTTTCTTAAGGCAAACAAGCAAACAACAACAAAACAGCTCATGCTTGAGGTTAAACCAAATACTTCAAGACTTGCCATTTGGAAAGTCGCTGAACTAATGTGGATTAAGGAAGAATGTCATAGTCTCTTTTACATCCTTGACAAAAGTCTTTTAAATAGCTAATGAGTAAGTCAAGGCTCTGACACTGCTGAAATTATCAGATGTGAAGCAGTGGTGGACACAATTTGAAAATCATCAGTCAAGTCTTAGAGGTGAGCACATGCCAACGTCAAAAGCAATGAGACACGATGGGATGTGGTGTTTCTTTATGTACCGCAGAAGTAAAACCAGGTGCACTGATGCTAAGCATAGCATGTGCTTCATAAACTCAACAAGTAATCAAGATTTTGTGTCCAAGTCAGGCTTGTGTTTGGCAACAAAACTCTTTTATAGTTTTGGAGATGTCAATGGCCTTTGAGGTTTCCAGAAAAGACTGACAGCATAGGAATTCTCTGATAGCATCAGTGTGCACCTAATGGACAGAAACCAAAAGGTAGATGTGTTGAAAGACTTCAGCAACTATCTTCAAGGGAAATGGCTTATTAGCCAATTCTTCTATGACCTTCATCAAATAATAGAAAGAAATGCTGGAGATTCTGAAGTAGATGACTTTATTTGACAGGAATACTGTTTTAATATTCCTTCTCTGATCCAAACTACATCTCTTTTGACTACTTTCCAGGACAAAGTTTCCACAGTTGTGTGTGAATTCTTTTCCTTAGGAATATTATAAGCATCTTTGAGAAATGTATGAAAACAAAGTTTTGTGTTGAAGCGAAACTGCATTATGGTAAGTTTCCAGCCAAAAATAACTACCTTGCCTGATGTTGTTGAGAGGCTGGACAGTTTTGCTGGATTTGTGCTTTCACCAGGAGGATCCGGGCCCCACACGAACACTGTGACTTTTGTATCTCATGATGTTCAATAGTGAAAGTAGAAATAAAGACACGGAAGACTTTTCATTTGTTTCTTTTCCGTGACATTTCCCCCAACTGAACTTGGGCCTATGTGAAAAGGTGTCAGGGTATACTTCCTTTCATTGTGATCTGTAGGACACTAATCTCAGCGCCATACTGTGGTAATAATAATTACTTTTGCCTTACTTGACCATGTACAATGGAATCCCTTGTACCCGTTTGAAGCAAAATATCTTAATAACATGATTGATATTAAACACTATTTTTTTCAGAGTCTTGCTCTTTCGCCCAGGCTGGAATACAGTGTTGCAATCACAGCTCACAACTCACTTGGGCTCAACCGATCCTCCCACCCCAACCTCCTGAGTAGCTGGGACCACAGGCACACAGTATCACACCTGGCTAATTTTTAAAAAATTTTGTAGAGATGGGGTCTCCCTATGTTGCCAGGGTGCTCTCAAGCTCCTGGACTCAAGTGATCCTTGGCCTCCCAAACTGCTGGGATTATAGGCATGAACCACTGCACTCAGCCATCAAACACTATTTTTAATGAAAGCAATGATCAAAGTAACGGAAAGGCAAATCAAAGAAAAATAATGTTCTCCCAAGGCTCACCCATGAATTTCCTAGGAAACCTTGCCCCATTCATTTAGTTTTTTGTCTTTTCCTCACAAGGTTGAATTTCTTGTGGGCCTTAATCTCTTTGTCCCTACAAGATTTAGTTGTTTCTTACTCTAGAAACACCAGCACTCCAGAAGCCACTTGGAATCACTCACCCCATTCCCCAAATAGTTACTACTCTGACTTCTAATAGCATAGATTAGTTTTGACTATTTTGTACTTTACGTAAATGAAATGATACCGTTTTTACCTTTTGGCACTTCTAATATTCTGCCTGGATTGTGATATTTTACAAATTTTGTGTGTGTTTTCAGTGATGAGAATGCAAGCTCCTTTATGTAACTTCTTGGTAGAAAAAAGCAGAATCTGTAACAGTGCCTTCAACAGAATGCATTAAACTGAATGCTTCTAAACCTATTCAATTCAGCCAAGCTGGTGGAGACGCAGACTTGAGACCTTACCATGAACTCGTTGGAGGATGGGGATCTAGTTTCTATTCTAGTCATCTTTCCTAGACACCACTCTGTGTGTATGTGTGTGTGTGTTCACATGTGTGCATAGAATTATTCTCTGTCAATTCATCACTGCCTAATTTAACCAACATTTCTGAAATTATGCATGATAATAAAAAATAAGGTGTTTTTTTTCCCCCTGCCTAATAGTATTAATGGAGGATTCATCAGACTGGAGCTGACTTTTGGGATTTATCTGAAACACTATCCTTAGCCTCGTAGCTGCCTTCTGGTGACTTTATTAATTGGTCAGACAAGAGAGTCACAGGGCCCCACTAGGGATGATGGGACCAGTGGGTTGTTTTCCTCTCCAATCTGGGAAACACCCAGCTGCTATGACACTGTGAAAAGACCCTTACACCCATTTCCTATGCTGCTTTTCCTTTTTGTTTGTTTGTCTGACATATTACCACCATTAATGCTTGCCAGAAGCTAGGCAAACCTTTTGTCAAAAACCAACGTGCAACTCTACAGAGAATATTTTTCTGCATCACTTACTTTCATTTTGAGCCTTTTTAGAAGCCTTTTTAGAAGGCTTTTCAATTCTCAGGATTCTGGTAGGCATTGACTTCTGCTATGCACTCAGGACCATAGCAAATGGGTTGTTCTGAGGGATAAGGAAAGAAGCCCTTGAAATGTAGCTTCTTAATGGAGCCATTCTGGGAAGGATTGACCCAGCAAACAGCTCTGATGTATTCACTGCGGATGTTCATCTCTAAACAGCCACAGACAAATCCTGCAGAGTCATGGTAGCGCAAGCTGCTTCAAGTACATCGAGGGAGTGGGAAGACAGTGGCTGAATAATACGGGAGCTCCAGCTGAGAGATGTCTGTGATACAGCTCTAGATTGTGGTGGGCAGAGCTTCAGATCTGTTGAGTTTGAGAGTCGTAGCCAAGATTTCCTGCTCACTGCTTCTATTGTTATTCCCATTGTTAGTTGCTGGCATCTCATATCCTAGATCATTAATCCATCCGCTGGCTCCCTATTGCTAATCCCTTATAGGCAAGACGTTGAGACTGTCCCTTCAAGATTCACAGGGTCATTTCTGGCCGTCTCCTCCACTTTTTCTACACACTGATACTCTTTCCTATTATTCATAAAGCGATAGATCATAAACATGCCGTTAAGCAAGAATGCTAATCAACCAAGCAGCACTGCCGGTGAGTTGGTTCATATTTTGTTCCTTCCATTTGGTTCCAGCTGCGCTCTTCCTGTTTTACCAACTGGGTGAATGGGAGGGGTGTGAGGCATGGTGAGCCCAGCGACGGATACAGAAACACCTTGTCTCCTCATTTGCTTTTGCTGTGAAGGTGACCATCGGGGGGCTGGGTACAGTGACAAAGAGTGGCCTGTCCATCTCCCTTAGTTATCACAGCAGCGACTAACAGGGTCTCCATTTGGACACAAGGGCTTTCTACAGTTTAAACCAAGACAATAGGAAAGAATGTTTTCTTGACCCTTTGCAGGAAATCCTGCCCGACACACGAAAGAATGCAGCATTTCCTGGAGCGTGGGCTGCTCAGGTCTGGCTCTCTAGGATGGACTTGAGTAAACCTGGTAAAAGATGCTTATGCTGTTACAGAATGAGAAAACTCGGCAACATCATCCATGCCCAGAGGTCCTAACGTTCAGCAAAGCCCCACCATGAGTTAGTTGGAACATACAAAAAATGGTATGTATGATTCAAAATAGACCAAAGGAGAGATACGCATCTGACCTTGACTTTGCCCATTTTCTCTGCTTCGTTTTCAGCATCTTACAAAAATACCTCCCCACCAAGAAAAACAGAAGATACTAGTTGGGAAGAAAGGAAAGTGAGATCTGTCTCATGACATTAGAAACAGATGATTGCTCAATATCTTTATTCTGAAAGCCATGGCTTCTAAATTTTTTTAAAAACTGTAAGCTACAATTGTTTTTCCTGGGCCCTGCTGGAAGTCACAGGGTAAATAAGGCACAGCCGTCCTTCCCTTTGCTGGTGGCCCTCTCGGATGGTGACATGTCGTAGCAGCAGTGGTGCCTCTGAACAAAAATAATGAGAGAAACATCTGTCTCCTGCTACGCTCTTTTCCAGGCAAATGGCACTTAAGATTCTTATTTTAGACTTGTAAGTGCTCCCACAAAAAAGCAGCTTCGGTGTTAACCACATCTCCTTCTTTCTTTGAATCTGTGGATCACTTTTTCCTTTGCTTGTATTTTAAGACAGTTTAAAAACAAAGATGACAACAGGATGCGTGCATGTCTCCGATACTGTGGGATTAAGAAAAAAAGAGGTGAAGAATACAGTAGAATGGTGTTATGTGAGTGCAGATAATTCTTCCGTCCTTGTTAAAAGAAATTGGGAGAGGCAATGTTTTGGAAGTGTTTATACCTAATATATTGTAGAGGCTTGAAAATTACCAAGTGAACCAGATCACAAATGAAATGGTGTTGAGAGCGGTGCTCTCTTGTAGTCACAGGGATCATAGTCCAAATATTGAAGAGGACCTACCCTTGTCTGTTTCTCTCTCTCTCTCTCTCTCTCTTTCTCTCGCTCTCCTGCTCTTTCTCTGTCTTCTCACACATACACACCCTGGCCCATACACAACTACGACTCACTTTCATCAGGAATTCAGATAATGTCCCCGAGATTAAAGAGCGACTTGTGAACTGGCATCTCTGAAGCAACGCGCTGGAAACACAGGCTTTGTGCTTTCCCACTGGGATATTTAGAAGAGCATATGCATGAAGTGATACCATTTTTTGTTTATTTTGGCTTGCATACAACTAAGACATTTTAGAGCTGGAAGGAACTTCAAAAACGAAGCAGTTCAACCCCTCGGTTTTTCTGATGAGGGAACCAAGGCTCCGCGAAATGCCTCCGTGTGGCCGAGGTGGCAGCGGGGCACTGGATTCTCACGTCTGGCCTCTCCAGCCCTCTCTTCCCAAGGTCTCTCCGCTCTCTCTGGCTTTTCTTCTCCACCTCCTCAGGCATTTCAGATCGACTTCCTCCTCCATGTCGCTCACGACCTCTTCCCAAAGCATTCTGCTGCTGTTATTTGGAAAATAACGAACACAGAAACGATGTGTTTCTGCGGATATTTTAGTGCTCACAGACTTGCAGCATCTGACCAGCCTGAACATAGCACCGCGTGCACGCACACCGTAGAGTGGGCAGGGCACCGGTATCAGTCACCTCAGCATGACCTCTTTCGCTACCCTTCTTTATTATTTGTAAGCAAATATGTTTCTAAAATTTAGTCATGACTTTTAGAATTTTGGATAACCATTTAACGAGATTTAAGATTGCCTAAAAGGAAGATAGAAGAACAAACCTGTATAAGTTCAAGTTTATTCTGAAAAAGTTTTTGGTTAATATTACAAGTTGATGTTCCATTCATCCATCCACCCATTTATCCACCCAGCTATCCTCCATCATCCATCCACCTACCCCACCCACCCATCCATTCATCCATCCATCCATCCATTTATCCACCCATCCATCTTCCATCGTCTGTCCACTTACGCCATCCATCCACCCATCTATCCATCCAACAAAAGTTTTATTCAACCAACATCTCATTCAGAAACATTTTCTGCATGCATCGTAAGTGCCAGTTACTGTGTGCATGATAAGTTACAGAAACACAATCTAGTGGGGAGATAGAAAAGTGTGAATATTGAGGCTGGGCGCAGTGGTTCATGACTATAATCCCAGTACTTTGGGACACTGAGGTGGGTAGATCACCTGAGGTCAGGAGTTCAACACAAGCCTGGACAACATGGCAAAACCCATCTCTATTAAAAATACAAAAATTAGCCGGGCCTGGTGGTGCATACCTGTAATCCCAGCTACTCAGTGGGGCTAAGGCCGGAGAATTGCTTGAACCCAGGAGGCGGAGGTTGCAGTGAGCCAAGATCACACCACTGTACTCCAGCCTGGGAAACAGAGAGAGACTCTGTCTCAAAAAAAAAAAAAAAAAAAAAAAAGAAGGAAAGAAAAGTATGAGTAATGATTATACAATGGGATGGTTGATATGTAGTATACACATAGATACAACATAATGTACTGTTGATAGAGATTTGTGCAAGGCTTTTGATTGAACAATATAAAAGCCACAATAATGAGAAATTAATATCTCCTGGCAATTAGGAGTTTTAATTAATAGAAAAGATGAGACATGTACACAAAAAAACTCTAATACAAGATAAATGTAATGTCATTTGCTCTGAAGTACTCTGTAATTTATAGCGTTTTAAAACCTGGGGACAGAAACTCCAATATGAAAGTGGTTGTTGTTATTTTGGAATAGGATGGAAAAAGATCTTGAGGGTCAGAGTGTCCCATGGGTTAAAGATAATAATTGGCAGAGAGTGCTACAGTTTAAACAAAGAACCTGGTGTGCCTAAGCAAATATAAACTGTTCAGCTAATATAAACTGTGAGAGAATCGTAGCATCTAGACCAGAGTTGGTCTTCATGACTTAAGGGAAAATTGGAAGAAATAGAGACATTTTATCTCACAAATGAAAATGAAGGCTGAACGTGGTGGCTCATGCCTGTAATCTCAGCACTTTGGGAGGCTCAGGCAGCTGGATCTCTTGAGGTCAGGAGCTCAAGACCAGCCTGGCCAACATGGTGAAACTCCGTCTCTACTAAATATACAAAAAATTTGCCAGGCGTGGTGGCGCACACCTGTAGTCCCAGCCACTTGGGAGGCTGCAGCACGAGAATCACTTGAACCCAGAAGGCGGAGGTTGCAGTGAACTGAGATCACATCACTGCACTCCAGCCTGGGCAACAGAGGAAGACTCTGTTGGAAGGAAGGAAGGAAGGAAGGAAGGAAGGAAGGAAGGAAGGAAGGAAGGAAGGAAGGAAGGAGAGAAAGGGGAAGGGAAGGGAGGAAGGAAGGAAAGAAAACTAAACAGAGAGGGTTTCTAATGAAGAAACACTTTAAAAAACACCTTATTTCACCAAATGAAGAAAAGATGGATATATTCTGATTTCACGCCATAGAGACTCGGGCGAGACTGTTCCTGACACCAACTCCTGCCATGCTCTTGCAGCCTTCAAGAGGAGGAGGGCCGTCACCAAGCCATCTGCTTTGGATGCCAGAGACTGAATTCCTCGGAGACTTTCTGCTTTCCTTTTCTTTGGTGTTATCAAATGCGATGTTGAGCCTTCTGTAATTGTTTTGCACTTCATCAAGTCACAAAAAGGAGAGCTATTATCTCCACAATGATGGGAAAAATTCCATAAGAGGTGAAGCGTTCAGAACCTGTAGATGTAAAAACTAATTCTTTTGTTTAGCTGGGCACCAAGTTGCTACTCCAAACCCCTGCCTTTTTCATGTCTTCTGCCCATGAGGCCCATCTAAAAATGAGAAAAGGGTTTTCTGTATGTTTTCTTATGATGTTTCTTGGATGAGTGTTTTCTTTCTCGGCTCAGGGCTTTACTAAGTGACATCTCCCTTCTTGCTTTGTTTTTATTGACTTATCTATACATTTCTTATGCTTAGTCCGGCTTCCTTAATTCCAAACCCTAATGTTCATTTAATTTTGGATATTTTTAAAGGATTTTCCAGGCAGCTAGGTTTGCCTTTTTCTCATGCTGAGATTGACCTTTCTAATGCCTTTATCATATTTTCTTGAAGTAGATTTAGCTACTGTGGTATTATTTGCCAGTGAAACCAAAGCACTATGCAAAAACTTTCCTCTTTCCCTATCTCCTGTCTTAAAATGGGTCATCAAGAATTTTGAATTAATCACTTACTCATCAGTTAGGAGATTGAGTGCTCTCTCTACCATTTTCTTCAAGTCCTTTTTCTCAAATAAATTAATAAAAATAAAAGCAACCATTTGATTAGAAAAACAGAAATTTTTGTCAGTCAAGTCACACTACAGCTAAAAATCCTAATAACCACTTTTCATGTTCCACATAGCCTAATTTTTACATTTTAATTGATTGATTTTTAAATGTTTGTTTTTGTTTTTAATTTTGGCCTACAGCCAATTCTCTAAGCGAACACTGTATTCCAAATTGTGTTAAGATAGTGGCTTGACAGGAAGAAAAAATAAAGTTTCAAACTGGGACTTAAAACCATTTCAAATTATTTTCAATAATTTAGCCCTGCTTAAGGCATTGAAGATCACAGCATCGAGAGTTGTGAAATATCAAAAGAGGTACAATTTTAAAAATATGCACGTTGCCATGATGAAACAGTGGAAGATGAGGGATAAAGACACCGTTTCAAAAATGGAACCTGATCTCCACATATGGAAATACCTGAATTGAGCAAAACTATTCTTCTTAAGCTGAGCTCATTGGTTATTTAAGGACTCATGAACAGACCCATGAATAAAATCCACCTGTGGTGGTTTTAAAACATGGCTGCAAACTCTTTGGCACTCTTCCGTTGAGAGGTGAAATCTCATTCCCTTCTCCTTGAAGTTGGGTTGGCTTTACTGACTAGCTTCTGACAAAGAAAGCATGATAGAAGGGATGCTGAGTGACTCGTGAGGGTCATTAGAAGGTGGATACAACTTCTATCTAGCTCTCTCTCTCTCCCAGGATGCTCACTCTTGGAATCCAACAGTCATAAGGTAAGGAAGCCCAAGCCTCATACCACATGCCAGCGATCTGGCCAATGGCTGAGGTCCCAGCTGTTTGAAAATGTACCTGCGATCTGTTTGAATGAAGTGCAGTAACACACATAGACACAGAAATGGCTCTTACGAAGGAAGAAGTTTTTACCCTCACGGATCCCTGGAAACAAAGGCACACCACACCATGGGGGATGATACAGGGAAGTGCTAAGGATGGTCAGGAGGCAGAGAGAGTGAGGGGAAAATGTGGGCAAGAGTCTTTATTGTAGCTTCTGTGGGAAGGAACAGAAAGGCAGGCTGAGGAGGTTTAGGATTGGCTTGAGTAATTTCCGTGGTCTCTAGGATATAGGGGTAGTCTCTAGTTGTCTGGTCCCTGAGCAGATAGGTAAGTGGCCCAAGCTGGAAAAGCTCAATAAAGGAGGTGGTTGGGGTACAGGGCTCTGGATTGGTTGGTTTGCATATGAAAGTCATTCATTATCTCTATGAATTAGCTGGCCCTGGGAGGGGAAGTCCCTCTAGTGCCAGCAAGACCCTGGATGTCCAAGTACCAGGATAAAAGACATGCTTAATACAGCAGCTGACCATCAGCCTCAACTGCCCAACATGTGAGTGAGCAAGGCTTTGAGATGATTCCAGCCTTGG